TTCAATTTTTTATCTTCTTCCTTATAACTCCCCCTCTTCAGAACCTCTTGCGTACAAGGCCGCCCACGTGGATGTAGGTTGAGCGGTGGCTGCCCCCACCCCCGTGTGTCATATAGACCCACTTGCACACAACCAAAAGGCAAAGAGGCAAAGAAAAGAGGAAGGGAACAGCCAAATACAACAAAACAGGGAGAAACAAACATAAACCAATCCTAGATGACAAGTTCCACATGCAAGCACCGCCCCCACCATCAGGGTCAAACAACGGGACAAGACCAACCAGGATTCAAAACACCCTTGCCTGCAAACAAACAATCCCAGATAACATACCTTTCGTGCGCGCCAGCTCCAAGAATCCTTTGCGATTGATTTTATTGTTGTTGTTGCAAAAATTGGTACCGATTCAAACTGTCAAGTCACCGCTTCGCAAGTCTAAACTAAATTACTGGGACAACATCGACAACAAAAAAACATAAAATACAATCCTAGATGTCGATTTCCACAAAAAAACACCGCCGCCCGCACAGGCCGCCTAGAATGCCAAAAAAAATAGAAAAACCCCGGCTGACAAGTCCCACATGAAATCTCCGCCACGGGGCTCTTACCGTAAGCTGAACGACGAAACTAAACCAACCGGGGTGCAGACAAGGGTGCCAAAATCACAGAACAAAGCATAAAAAAGCTCCGGTCCACAATGTGACAAAAAAAAAAAAAAGAGAAGAAGACAATCCCGGATGACGATTCCCACATACGAGCACCGCCCTGCGCTCAAAGGGCCGAACAACGGGAAACAACTAGGATGCGAAAAACCCGAATGACTGGTCCCACGTGAAAGCACCGCCACGCCCATGAGATAGCCCGAACAACGGGACCAGACCAACCGGGAAACAGATAAGATCAACAAAACAAATTCTACCATAACCATATCCATAGTAAAAAAACGGAACCATACAGTAGGCCCGCAAAACGGAATACCCCAGCAACAGGGAAAAAAGTAAAGGAGAAGAAGCAAGGAAGGGGGAATGACAAGAACAAATGTAGAATTTTTTTCTACCATAACAAAAGCCTAGCCTGCTAGTACAGGCCCGACGCTCGCCGCATCATCTACAAAAGCAGAGAGCTAGCAACGTCGGAGTATATATTGTCACAAAATATCAGAGCGCAAATGCAAAAAAAAAGGAAAAAAAGAAGAAAAGAAAATTGAATTCAATTTTTTATCTTCTTCCTTATAACTCCCCCTGTTCAGAACGTCTTGCATGATATATATATATATATATATATATATATATATATATATATATATATATATATATATTGTCACAAGAGAGAGAGGGAGAGAGAGAGTGCCCGTGCGTGTTTGTGTGTATGTGTGTTTGTGTGTGTGATATATATATATATATATATACATAAAGGGAGAGAGAGAGAGAGAGAGAGAGAGAGAGAGAGAGAGAGAGAGAGAGAGAGAGAGAGAGAGAGAGCGTGCGTGTGTATGTGTGTGCGTGTTTGTGTGAGTGTGTTTGTGTGTGTGTATGTGAGTCTGTAGAGTTTTCCATCTGGTGTGGGTGATTGATAGTCTACTTTGATTTTGGTTAAGGTAGATTATCATTTACAGTGTAATCAGTGAGGGGATTCTGTAGACTGTTGAGGGTTCAGCCTCCTGATGAGTCGGTGAAACTCCGACGAAACAGTTTGTCACAACCCCTTGTTTGTTGTCCTCTTCTCTCTCTACCAATGGTTTACCGGGCAGTTCTGTTTGTGAAGATATATATATATATA